AATCTCTGAATATATCTTAACTTCCTGGAAGTTATCCGAATATCCCTGATGGTCTCAGAACCTTTTAAAGATGCTGCATTTTTTTTGATGTGAATGAAACAGTCTTAAAGTTCTTGAAGCTTCCCAAAAGTTCTAAACTTTTCCAGAAGCTCTGGGAACTTCTCTTATGTTCCCGCAGTCTAGTTATGAAATACTTTCCATAAATTCTCGAAACTTCCTTTAATTTTTTTGGAACATAAATAAAGTTCCTTCAATTTTCGAGAAGCTACCAGGACTGCCCTGAAATTTTGTTACCTTACCTTCAGTTCTTGAAACTTTCCTAATGTATCCACAAATTTTCTGAAATTCACGGAAGTGTACTAAAGTTCCCAGAAACATCTAAAAAGTTACTACAATTTTCCCAAACTCAACTGAACTGCCCCAAAATCTATTGGCCTGCACTGAAGATTGGAACTTACTCTTATAGGTCATTTAACTTATTCCTTGAAGCTCTTTAGACGATCTTCTTTGACGTAGTTTTTTTCCTTGATTTGTTTTCCGTCGTGGTTGTTTTCCGTACTGAGTACCAATGCTACCGACGCCAGAGAGACAGCTCCCACACCTGAACCCTACCCATCGACCTATTGAAGTTCTCGAGTTTTCAAGTTCGTCAAACAGACCTGAAGCTTACTAAACTTAAGAAGTTCTTGATACTTCTGTAAAGTTTCTGCAGTTTTCTTGGTGTTGATGGAACGTCCTGGAGTTCTCTGATCTTCAACGAGATTATACTAAAGTTTATCAAACTGCGATGAAGATCACGAACCTTCCCCAAAGTTTTAGATTTCCTTAAAGTTCTCAAAACATTCCTGAAGTCTTAGAATTTGGTTTCTGACGATTTGAGAATGGTTCCACGGGTAATTTCAACATGCTGGGGTTAATTTAGATTTTTTTCTTAAAATTTGGTGAATTGTTTTTTAAACGTTTTTATGAGGATGGGAGGATCAACATACCTTCACGTACAAGAACGCCTATTGAAAATTGGGATCCGGGGAAAAAGCATGATCATTCATGAGGCAACCCAACTAAAATCAAACTGTTTGTATCTCGTGAGTACATTTCATTTCTGATGGGCGTAATCCTTTTTTATTTCACGTTTGTAAACGGAAACTTGTTGACGCACTTTTTGAGTCATATTTATGAAAGAAATAATGCAAAATCGAAGAATTTAAGTTGAAATATCAGTGGTTCTCATATTGCCCTGAGTGGAGTTAAGTAATATTTTGTTAAGAAAATCTTTCATATTTATTGAAATCTAGACAAGAAACCAATGACCATTTATAAAGCTGTTGAAGGAATATCAAAAAAAAGTATAAGAAACTACTGATAGACCTTATTTTCTAATTCAGAAACCTTATGAAAGTTTTGACATTTTGAGCTAGTCTAACATGCTCTAGAGAAAAGTATTTTGATAGACTCAAATGAAATGGATAGTTGAAATAAATTTCAAGCATTCAGCTTGCAACAGATTTTTTTGGAAAACATAAGTTGATTTCAAAGCGGGTGGCCACATTGTCCCATTGGTTGTATTTCTAAACTTCCCCTAACCTGATTTTTTAGCAGAATTCCATAGTTATTTTGAGGGATGCACTATGAGATTTCTGGTGAACGTTCGAAAGAAATACGGAAGAAAACTACAGCCAACTCTCCACAATGCGATATTTTCTTTAACTCGATGGATTTTTTTAAACTTTATTTCTTGTATTTGTATGGGTAACATGTATGGATTATCAAGTGACACATATGCGTCTTTTCAACTTTAGTACATTTGATATTTTAATTATTATTTACAGTTCCTAGTTTTATCAGGCCTGTTTTAGAGGATGACCACCTTGGTGGGATTGGTTTGTTTTGAATTCGAAAAAGGAGGCTACTTATAACTACTATTTACAACTACAACTAACCTATAACTACTATATACACCTAATCTACCATATACAAATTGCTTATCAAAGCATATTCTGATGTATTGCATTTCTGCACAAACCTAGTCTTAATGTCTTCAATTTTGAATTCTAATTTTGGAACGTTCGCCTCTTTGTGGAGGTCTGAAATTGTTTTGTCAAAGGGACGAGCAAGCGCCGCCCGAAACTTTCGTTCCGGAGTGAGACCATTCTGGAAGCAATCTCCTTGTTCAGATAGGCCATTTCACGTTTCCTCGCTAGATCTCCGGTTCTTTGGAACTGGCGTCTACGAACATTCTTCTGGTGAATCAAGAGTTGGGTGTGGGAATCAATGGCTCAATGGATTCAGCTGCCTCTTCATTTTTGTATGTATCGTACTCTCCTTAAGTCTATGTCTCCTTTGGTTGATGTTCCATGTAGTGTTATTTTGTTATTAGTGAGATATTGACGATGGAAGTCAAAAATGAAAGTTACGTTATATCGAGGTATAACTGTACTCAGGACGATAGAGCCATCCATAAATGTTCAATATTATTCCAGAGAAGTGATACAAAATAGACTAGAAGCAACATCGTTGGGTGATAAATCATAGATTTCCTGGGAAACTGCTAAAAACGGCATTCTAAACAAGCATTTTCCCAAAAACACCATTCTCGGGAAAATGACTCTATGTATAAATAAATCAAGAGCAATATGGAATTTTTTTGCGAGAATTTGCAAAGAATTTGGAAGATGCTTCCGGGGAAATGCTGTCAAAATATGTCGGGACATAAACATCCTGGAAATGTGAAAGTGTTTTCAGAGCTAGTCATAAGCTACTTTCAGGGCAAGTCAAAATCACACATGATGTCAGAAGAATCTTTCGGAGAATGCCAACAAACCTTCTGGAAGAATTCCGAACAAAATTTCAGAAGAAGTTGGAGGATTATTCTGGTAGAAATCTTAAGAAACATCGTAATAGAACTGGAACTAGCTTCCACGGAATGATGGATGAAGCTTCCGGGGAAAACTCAAAGAAACTTCCTGCGAAAAGTCAGAGAAAAAAACTTCCGGGAGGAATCGGAAGTAGTCCAGGGGAAGTCAGAAGATACTTCCAGCAGAAGTCATAAGAAACCTTCGGTGCATATGTGAAGAATAATTCAATGAAAATCTGAAGAGTTTTCCGGAAGTGTTAAAAGCAACGAGGATTTTGAAGAAAAGGCTTTGTCCAGCATTTTTAGACTTTTTAAATTCTTGCGGAAACCTAAAAAAAATTGTATTTCATGGTAAATATTGGTAATCTTAATAGAAAAGGTGTTCGAAGTAGCCAAGATTTCCATCAATCTTGGTGGTAGATCGAGTAAGGGAGAGTTGTTGTATGGAAAAGTGCAAAAGTTGACTCACATTTTGCATAAAAAACAATTTAATATGTGCCTCAAGGCTTTGGAGGAAGGGGGATTGTTGAAACCTAAAGCCCCGCTCCCTTCGCTGCGCCGTTGGTTAATTATATACCAAACGTCATCTCAGTAGGTTAGAAAACAGCGAAAAAATAGCGGTAGGTTGACGACGCTACCCACCGCTCTCTTCGGGGGATTTGTCATCACAAAAATCAATGCATAGAGTTGATATATAGATATATAGTTGTCGTATTGGGTTGTTATTCATATATCTATAACATATTTTATTACTTTGAAAATTATTGGTAAATGAAACTCGTTTAACACATTTTCAAAACCCGCACCAATCACAGTTCTACTGGCAAACATTCAAATCAGATAAATTATCCTTCAAATCAGTGCTAACCATACGCGATAATCCTGTTTCCCAATGAGTCATTCCATCGTCAAACCTGAGGCATTCAATGAATAAACACTAGAGCATTTCATTTTGAAAAATAGTGTTAGATTTCATCTAGGCCGACCTCCAGTTTGATTCATATCCTTAAAATATAAGTCTGTGCAAAAAATGGTAAAGATTGATGAAGGTTTAGTGATCGTGCAAATATTTTGAAGTTTATATGGAAATTTTGGTAAATTACTATGATAAATTAATTAATTGAATTGAATGACAATGACCAACAAGTTGTTGTGATTAAATTGGTTTTATTGTATTGCACATATTCTTCTATCAATTTACTCTATTTTGTCTTTGTTCGCATCTTCATCTTTCTTGACGTGTTGCCAAACTGTCCGTAGCAACAACAGTTGGCCATTGTCATAGCAACCACATTTTAATTTTTTCATCATTTGGACAACTAGAACCAAAGTTAGATGGATATAAGTGAAATTTAAAAGGCTTCCATAGTCATTCCCATACAAATTTCAACCCATTTGCCCGACCTCTAAACCTTCATCAATCTTTACCATTTTTTGCACAGACTCATATCAAACTGGAGGGTGGCCAATAAGAAATCTAACACATTTATCAAAATGAAACACCCTAATAAACACCCTTCGTTGTTATTGGCGGTATAGGACGCTCAAGTGTCGATTTATTCCGTATGCGTTTTTGGGGGGAAGGGTCATGTAGCAATGCTATTACATGCCCCGAACAACGGCAAGTCCACACGTTAGGAAATGGCAAGCTGTGAAAAACTCATTTGAAAACACATTGAGCTATTTTACCCTACGGGTGCGTTTTGGTTTCCCGTGAACGATTCAAAAATCACACCCGACTAGGATTTGCAAACCCAAATCCAGCCGCGTGAATCTCGAAAAGTACACCCCCGGGATCCCATTAGTAGTAGGTTGTGGTGTACAAAAACGACGGACACCATTGATTGTGCCGAACCTTTGTCATGTTGTGACACCATTTGGCCCCCTGGTTCCAACAACGTCAACGTACTGAGTTATGCATGCCCGCGAATGTGTGAAGGTGTGCGTGGGTGTGTGTTTGTGTGTCTCGAGCCGATGTGCGGTTAAACTACTTTACATATGCAAATTATGCACATTCAAATGTGCTCACTTTTCATTTACACGTCCATCATTCAATCCATTCACAGGCTCTCACACTCTGTATCTCCTGCAGTGACTCTTAACTAAAATGGTGGTTGTTCTTTTTTGCTCCTTTGTAATTTTACAGGCGTTCCCTCCCAGCCGAGCAACTTCCGTGCTACCGATATTGGCGAAACAGCTGTCACTCTCCAGTGGTCCCGGCCGACCCACTCGGGCGAGAACATCGTACACTACGAACTGTACTGGAATGACACCTATGCAAACGAGCAGCATCATCAGTATGTATTAATGTTGTTTTATGGTGCCTTTACTTTCTGGAAATACACTACTTTTATCGCGGGAGGAGAAGTGGCGATGGTTGGTCTGCAGAACAGTGGGAGTAGATAAACGTTCTTTTAGGGATAGTACAACACAGACAAACAGACGCGCTTAGTTGGTGATGCGTTGTGACAAGATGACAGCGTAATTCAAAGTCAATCTGTCTGATTTTCCGTAGTGTACCACTAACGGATGATTGCTGCGTGTGTCTCAACACTACATTTTCGAGTTGTATCTACACCGTGGGCACAGGAATTAAATCTAGCAGAAAAAGAATAACGCTCTGGTATTGTATCCAATTGAGTGGACGTATTGAGTGAAGTTTTATGGATTAATTAGGTCTACAATTTGGTGGATTAAATGAGTACAAGTTTGACATACTTTTTTTATTTCGCAAGATAGAGGTTTGGTGCTTCGGACAAAGTTGTAGAACGTGAAATTTTAAGGAAAATCGTAAAATTTTATGGTACAAATTAGAGTACCTGACACAGCAAAACATGTCTGGTACCTCTATACAGCCATTCCATAGCAACACTACGTAGCGGATCTCAGAATTTCGTAATAATTTGTTGTTTTGTTCCTTATCGCAACATATTAGATGCATATTTTCCAAAAAATTATATCTTTCGAACCACTGCACAGTGGTCCAGAATGCAGATTTAGGTGGAATGATATGTTTTGAGTCTGACTTAAAGTCTCTTGTACAAAGTTGTTCCTTATAGTGAGGCCTTCATTTTCATGACAATGAATTCTAGGGTGGTTCTTATTATCATTTAAAACAAAAATCTAACTTTTTTGTTGAATAAATTAAGGAATACATTCTTCGGCAAGTTATAGCTGAGCTAATTTCAAGCAGCTTTGTATAAGAACATTTTTTATATCTCTTAAATTGACCGATTAAGAGCTATTTCCTTGAATTGAGTTAGGGTGGCTCTAAAAAAACAGTTATTTTACTCTAGTTTTCTTATTTCAAATTCCTCAGCAAAGGTGTTTTCAAATAACTTTAAGATCATTAGAAGGCCCAAAGCTTGTCAATATCTTTCGCCGAACCAGATTTATTGACGATTTTCTTCTAAAAATATGCCCTTTTTAAATGTTTATATCTCTGGTTGGGGCAAACAAAAAAAATTTTTTTTACGGCATTCGAAAGGGCATATGTTATTCAAAATAACATGAAATTTTTGAGGTACACAGATAAAAATTCTGAATTTTAATTGTGATGTAAACATTCAATCACGTAGACTTGTATTTCATTTCACGCAACCGAGCAACTTGCAAACAATGTTGTTTACAAAGATGGATTTTTGTATACAATATTTGCTACATTGTATGAAATGTGTCAGAACTTTACATGACATATAACGTAAACGTATATGATATGTGACGCTCCATTTATGTGTATCATATTGAACAGAAATTTACACTACTTCTGCTGACCTTTTCGCTGACTTTTTCCGAAGTGTTTTCGAACCCGATCAAACTCCTCAACCGCAGCAATACATTGCAATACAGCTACCAAGATACGACATTCACCTGCAGCAGCTCATCTTCAGTCAAGACGCTATTCTCAAAGCCCTTTGCTCAGTCGATCCATCGACAGGTCCAGGCCCGGATCGTATTCCACCGTCTTTCGTCAAGAACTGTGCAGCATCGTTGGCCACTCCCATTATGTCTATTTTCAATCGATCGCTTAAGGATGGCGTTTTTCCGGATGCCTGGAAGCTCGCCTCAATTACACCAATCTTCAAGTCCGGTAACATGCATAAAGTGGAAAATTACCGACCTATCTCGATCCTGAACTGCTTGGCCAAAGTTCTCGAAAGTCTTCTGCATGAGAAGTTGTATCCAGCTGTTCAACCCATAATCTCAGAGTTTCAGCATGGATTCATGAAAAAGCGCTCGACAGTCTCTAACTTGATGACTTACACGAACACTCTTATAGGTAGCATCGAGAAGCGTCAGCAAGTGGACTCCGTTTACATCGACTTCTCTAAGGGGTTTGACAAAGTCCCTCACGACCTAGCCATTATGAAGCTAAACCGCCTTGGTCTTCCACCGTGGATCGTTTGTTGGTTGAAATCATACTAATCATCCAGGAAGGCTTTCGTTAAGATACGTGATTCCAGATCCAAGGTATTCCACAAGGGAGTCACCTAGGACTTCTCATTTTCGTTCTGTTTATTAACGACGTGTGTGATATGCTAAGTTCCTGTAAGTTGCTATATGCGGATGATCTTAAGCTGTACCGTGTGATCAAATCGATCGTGGATTGTTGCGCACTACAAGCTGATATAGAGCGATTGTCATCCTGGTGTCAGACAAATGGAATGCAACCCAATTGCAAAGCCGAGCAAAGTAAAATAACAACCTGATATCATCCTGAAAACAAGTTTTGTTATTCCAGATATCATTTTGTTTTCAGTTGTTATCACATAACTATTTAAGTTATTTACCTCTACTAATTGTGTTATCAGTTGTTATCATGAATCAAAAATTAAATGATGCAAAGTTAGTTCAAAACTTCCAATATTATCCACATGGTAAGAAATTAAAACACTGCCAATCATATTCCATTTATCGGCGTAAGGCAGTTATACAAAATCGATAAAATAATTTGAAATTTGTTGAAAAAATTCGCATGGATCACAGGATTTGGTATCAAGATATTTTCAATGATAACTAAATCAGTTATTTATGTGATATCCAAGGAGTATTATTTTGTTATATTATTTGTTATGTCGGAGTAGTTTAGTGATTATTCAACCACAATGAACACATGTTTAGTTATCAAATCTTGATAACCGAGTATCAGAACTTGTTATCAATCTGGTATAATCCTTTACTCGGGAATGCTGCCAAATGCAAAGTGATTACCCTTCCCGAGCGAAATAAAATATCAAATTGATAACAAGTTCTATTACCCGGTTATCACTTTTTGATAACTGAATATGTTATCATTATGGTTGAATTAACAGCCAACATAACAAAAGTGATAGCAAAAAATTGCTCGTTGGATATCACAAAAATAACTAATTTTGTTATCATTGATAATATCTTGATAACAAATTCTGTATGCCATACAAATTTATTCCATGAATTTCAAATTATGTTATCATTTTGATATTAAAGCCTTACGCTGATAACTGAAACATGTTTAGTATTAAAAGCACTATTTTTTATTGCTTCAATGCGAATGATATTTAAAGTTTTGAACTAACCTTGCATCGTTAATAAATATATAGTTAATTTTTCATGATAGCAACTGATAACAAAATTGATCAAGACTGATAACTAAATAAGTTATGCGATAACAACTGAAAACAAAATGATATCTGGGATAACAAGACTTGTTATCTAGATGATTTCGGGTTGTTATTCTAATTTGTCAAAAAATACAGTGAAGGAAACGTTTATTCATACAAACAGGCCACCATTACCGAACATGGAAAACTGGATGGTTGGTTGTCTTTATTAAGGAGATTTTCATCCAGACGCTGGTTCATCTCCGGGAAATGCTTTTCTATGGAATCTATAGTATTTATAGTTTCTTCCAATGACTGGATTAACAATACGCCTTTTTAATAGAAACTAAGCAATCGATTCAACCTCTGGTGGTGAATAAGAGAACGTCAAAAAGAGTGTTGTGAGCAGAAATTTTGCTGTGAGACAATTTAATTCTGTACCATTTGTGCAAGGATCCTGCTAGTGTTCAAGAATATTTTTGTTGAGAAAAATGTAAAATTAGAATTGTGTCGTAGTGGTTACAATCTTCCGGATTTCTCGTGTGTGAATAGTTGAGGCACAAATCAGTTTGTAACGGGCTACTCGCCGAAAGGTTCTTTTCCAAGTGTATCAACCTCTCCACTTAAGCGCCAAGCAAGCAAAAGAATCACTTGCATGTGAAGAGGCAAGGTTTGCTCGTGCCCGGTGAGACTCCTCAAGGCGAGTCCTTCAAAATACTACTCCGATTTCCGATCGTACCACAACCAACGCTTCCCAATATGACCCCTAGATAATGTAGTCAACGGGGACCCAAACTAAGTCAACGCACGGACTAAAAAAACTCAATTATCAGACTTTTCTCTTTTGCTCACGACAATCATGGTTGGTTATTCTTTTTTCATACACTTTGTATTCGGTTTTGAAAGGGGTTAGTTAATAGCCATCGGCTCTGCTATACCGACCGTAGTTCAAAATCAACTGTCTAATGACTTCACTTGGTTTGTCCCATTTATTACTATTCTAGAACCTTCTTATCTTCGGGGTAGGTGTGTGTGTGTGTTGATGCCTTCTTATTCTATTTATAGGTTACCTGGACTGATCTAACCTGTTATGCTCGGAGGGGCTGCAGCCGTATACTACCTCTCGCTGATAATGCTGTCAGTGGTGCGTGTCTCGGCTATGACGAATTTTTTCCTCGAGACAGCCACCACACGGGTACACGTTTTGATTCGGTTTTTTTAGCGGGCCCGCTTTTCTACTCGCGCGAGTGCTGCTTCGAGGCCAAACATGGGGTGATCCGGCAATTGGCGACCGGTATACAACCCCGGAAGTAGTGGTGACTTCCGATGGCCCGTAAGTGCGCTGGGGAATATCGCTAACCCGCCAACGAGATCAGCTACAAGCTGACGTGTCTTCGGACCTTCCCAGAGATCGCGTGGCATACGCGAACCCCTACACCTACCTCGACGAAACACCTTCGCTTGAAGGATATTCGGTCCTTGAAGTGAAAAGAAACGCACCAATTACAATTTTGCTTTTCTAACTTCCAACAGTCGAGTTGTGGATATTTACCTGGACCTCGAGCAGATTATTTCGTGTGTTTCACCTTTTCTCTTTTAAAGACAACGTTAGCCTATTCATATGCTACAACAAATTTTAGGTTAGGCTACATTCAACAAAATTAACAGAGGAACTCACTAGGTTTACAATAGATTTTAGGTACGCGTGGGCCAATAATAACGTTCTCAACCACTATTGTTTTTTTTCTCTAAATTTCCCGATTACTGAAATACAAGATGTTATTTTTTTTTTACATATTTTTCCTATGGTCGATATCTTATTAAAACTCACTATAACTATTTCGATTGGCTAAAATTCTCACAAACGATAACTTTCCACTAAGTTTTTTTTCGGGACTACGTCCAACCACTATGCCGATCGAAACGAGAAAGAATGGTAATTGAAGATGGCCTTCTTTGCAAAGTGCTACGCAACGCGGGGATCCCTACTAATACCATTGCTTCAAAAATTTGCATATCATCATTTCATTTTTAAAACATTGGCTATACTATCTGCGATCCAAACGGAGTGGTATGTCTTGCTTCACGATCAGATTCAAATGAGTGTTTCCAATTCTCCCACTCACAGCGCTACGATGCATAAAAAGTGCTCGAATGCAAACATCACCAAATGTATACAATTGCCTTCCCTTTGACTTTCTTGTAGCCTGAGAAGTGGAAGATACACACTTCAAGAGAATATATTTACAGATGTTACTATTTTTTTTACGACCATTTTGTAACAATGTTACAAGTTCAGATCTGTGAAAAATCGTAAAATAAGATAACTACCGATGGAAATTGGCAAGATGTTCAAAGGAAAATACCTCAATTTGCGTTGTGAAAAACCCGTATTCTGAAAAAGCCTGTAGAAAAGGGCCAATCAGCATTTGTAAACAAACCGTTCTAAAGCCATTTCCTCACAAAGCGAAGGCCGCCCACGCAAACCAACACCATCATTGTGTAGGGGATACTTTTTTCCCGATGCGCGCAACACTGTTACTGTTCAAAGCTTCGCTTTGTGGGGTTACCCGCTCTCACTCTCCGATCATTTTTGATTACTTAAGGGCGAACACGAAATTATTGCGACACCGAAAATGTCATGCCAATTTTCTTATAATGTTTAGAATCAAAACAAAATTTTAGGGTAGTTTTATACATATATTTACTTCAAAAATCAAAAGAAAAGTTAATCGATGGAGCCTTGAGTGTAAAATTGAACGCATTTTCGCTTGATGCCCTCCATCAAAGTCTTTACAGTGTCATCCGGTACCAGTTTCTCAGTTTTTTTTTCCATTTTCTTAACATGTCCTTCTCGTCTTTGACTGTCTTCTTGCTCTTCCGAAGTTCCCGCTTCATTATTGCCCAGTACTGCTCCACCTGGCGCAGCTCCGGACAGTTTGGCGGATTCATGTCCTTTGGAACAAAATGGACAGAATTGGCCTCATACCACTCCAGGACACTTTTAGAATAGTGGCATGATGCCAAATCTGGCCAAAAATAGCGGAGCTTCGTCGTGCTGCTGCAAGAACGACAAAAGGCGCTTCTCGAGGCACTCAGATTTGTAGATCTCGCCATTTACTGTGCCCTTTGTCACGAAAGGCTCACTCCTCAGTCCGCAAGAGCAGATGGCCTGCCAAATGAGATATTTGGAGGCGAACTTCGACATTTTCTTCTTCTTAAATTTGTCGTCCACATTGAGCTTGCTCTTGCCGGTGAAAAACTCCAACCCCGGAATTTGCTTAAAATCGGCTTTTATATACGTTTCGTCGTCCATCACACAGCAGTCATATTTTGTCAGCATCTTCTCGTAGAGCTTCCGTGCCTGAGTTTTAGCCGTCGATTGTTGCCGCTCATCGCGGTTTGGGAAGTTCTGTACCTTGTATGTATGTAGTCCAGCTCTCTTCTTTGCATTCTGGACGTAGCTCTGCGACATGCCGATCTTTTTAGCCAAATCACGGCTTGAGACGTTGGGATTTGCTTTAATCATCCGCTTCACCTTTCCCTCCGTCTTTTTGTTCTCCGGTCCCGGTTTTCTTCCAGCTCCTTTGTCGTGGTCCAACGTCAACCGCTCCTGGAACCGCTTCAACACTCTGGAGACGGTTGAATGGTGAATGTTCAACATTTTTCCCAACTGCCGGTGCGACAGGTCAGGAAATTCCAGGTGTTTGGAATGAATTTGTTCTCTCAACTCGCGTTGGTTCACCTCCATTTTCGTTGAATCGAAAAACACGACTTCGAGTTTGACAGCATGTACACAATACACATCAATGAGAAAGTGTGCAAAATTTGGTTGATTTTTACCCAATGGTAAAAAAGTTATGCCCTGTCGAATGTGTCGCAATAATTTCGTGTTCGCCCTTTATATGAATCAATCGCCGCTGGTAAGGGTTAATGCCATTAAGGATCTTAGGCTCATCTTGGACAGCAAACTACGGTTTACCGAGCACAAATCCATGACAGTTGCAAAGGCCAACTCCATGCTAGGATTTTTGCGCCGCAATACTTCACAATTCGACGACGTGTACGCCCTGAAAGCGCTGTACTGCTCTATGGTCCGCAGTGTTCTTGCATATGGAGTAAAAATTTGGGCTCCATATCATGCTGTTCATGTACTGCGCATCGAGAGAATCCAAAAAACAGTTTATAAAGTTTGCATTATGACGTCTGCCATGGACAAATCCAGATAGCTTACCTCCGTACGAGCATAGATGTGCGCTTATTGGACTGCAAACACTAACAAATCGCCGAGTCTTTCTCCAGAGGATGTTCATATTTGACATGATTAGTAATCATATTGACTGCAGTTTTTTGCTAGGGAACATCAATTTCCACACTCCAGCTCGCCGTCTCCGCTACTATTACTTCCTGAGGACTTCCGAACATCGAACTGCTTACGGTTATAACAATCCTCTCGATAGATGTTGCAGACTGTTTAATGATGTGTGTGATGTTTTTGATTTAAATATAAGTAGACCAGTTTTTAAGAATAGGATTAAGTCACTTTAAACAGTCTGTATGGCTAAAATGTCAGAGTGTGGTTAAAAAATAAATAAATAAAAACTAGAGCAAAATAACTGTTTTTTACGAGCCACCCTAACTCAAATCAAGAAAATAGCCATTAATCGGCCAATTTAAGAGATACAAAAATGTGTTCTGAACAAAGTTGCTTGAAATTAGCTCAGCTATAACTTTGCCGAAAAATGTATTCCTTAATTTATTCAAACAAAAAAGCTAGATTTTTGATTTAAATGATAATAAGAACCACCCAAGAATTCATTGTCATAAAAATGAGGGCTAAGGGGAACAATGGGGGGGGGGGGGCTAATGAGGGCTCTAATGAACAATTTTGTAGAAGAGACTTTTAGTCAAAAGTTCCAATTTCAGGCTCAAAACATATCATTCCACCTAAATCTGCATTCTGGACCACTGGGCACTGTGCTGATTTCAAAGATCAAAATTTCTAATGAAAAGTAGGTAATTAAAAATTATTTTTAGGAAAAATATAATGATAATGATAGGGGTTTTGAAATGAAAAACATTGATTGTATTTGTTATCTATGGTTTCCGTATTGTAGATAGTTGGCACTTTTTTTGTTTTGAGTTATATTTTATTGAAGTTTTGGGTGTTCGCCTAAATTTTCAAGGAAAAATATTAAAAACACGGTCTCTGTCTGCAAACCATGAAAAGCATAAAAAACAAATAAAATCAATGTTTTCAATACATTGTTTAAGCAACTTGTATGCAATGTTGCTTATAACATTGGCCTTTGGTTACAATATTTGCAGCTTTTCATGAAATGTATTAGAACTTTAAACAATTTTTAATGTAAACTTATATGATATAATACGCTCCATTTATGTACATCATATTGAACAGAAATTTTTCACTCATGCTACTGAGAAACTAATCACCAATTCAACCTTTTCCAGGCGCATTCCCAACACGGAAACGTACACTCTGAGTAGTCTCTACCCGGACACGTTGTACTACTTCTGGCTGGCGGCTCGATCTCAACGTGGTGAAGGCGCGACTACGCCTCCAATTCCCGTTCGCACCAAGCAATACGGTAAGTTGAACGCACTCACCTTCTCTGACTACCTTCCACTAGAGGCAAAGTTTTGATTTTTGTTGAAGATCTTAGACCTAAGAGTGTAAAGTCTGCAAAGGATGAAAAAAAAACATTCGAAACAGTATCCAAAAGAAGAAAATCTTCAAGATTATTTTTTTGTGAAAAGGGAACATACCAAAATCTAGCTAGTCTGAATTGTGCAGACTTGATGACATTGAACGCAAGAAAAAAAATGGAAAGAAAGTCAGACGACTTTCCGACTGCTACGCATAATCAGTTCATAGCAGTATTCAACGCCCAACGGATTTATCCTATCCAATTGTTATACTTACCCTTGCATTTCTCATCCCGATAATAAAAAAAAATCAGCTTCGTTCAGTTTCATTTCTTTCGTTTGGTTAAGTTCGAGTTTCTCGTGCGAATCGTGGAATCGTTCGAGCAAATGAATTTATTTTTCCTTTCCCATTTCGGCAATTTTCCCGAGAATGTGTGTGTGTGAGTGAGTGTGTGTGCATATCTTTTGTGAGCGAGAGTATGTGGGTGAGCGTGCGAAGAACCGGCTTGCTTGATTTGGTTTCATCCGTTCCGTTTTTTGGCAACATTCCATCAACCTTTCTGGACAACCGTATTATTATTCGTGACAGTTTGAATGTTTTATTATGGTGGCAATTGTTTTTCCTGATTTCTCTTTCGAAAGCTGCATGCCAGTACGTTTAAATGACATCGATGGCCGTCTTATTCTTTTACCCTTGATTTTCGTTTCTATTTTCATTGATTTTATTCGTTTGATGCTATTCCAGCTTCATTTTTCAGTTTGAATCTTTTGATTTGATCTTCTTTGGAGGATATATATTCCCTCTATTCTATCATATGTTTTGTTTTTCTTCACCGTATTATGCACCCCAAACTGCACTGATTGATGAGCACTGATTGTGTAAAGCACCTATTTCTCGTAATAAGTTCAATGCACCGTAGATAATATTTTTGAATATTGATAAAGTATCTAGGTAACCGAGAAAAAAAATATTACTCGTAAGTGCATCGGTTTTAAAGATCATTAAAAAATAAGGTGCTAGGGAAGCTTTTGATTCGAAATCATCGTTCCTTGTGTCTACTTCTGTTGCTGTTTAAGAATCCTATTTGTTAAGTAGAACTTTTGGTTAGTAAACATGTATGAGTTGTCGGCTTTAAGGTTTTATAGCGATTATGGTGGAGTAAAGCAATTCTGAATTGAGTAATTCAAGGAAGCTTTGAAAAAAAAAAAATGCTCCGAGACATCTTTCTATGGCAACCGAAATCTTTAAAAAATTGCACAATTGAGAGTGGCTTTATACATATAATAAATAAAATTAATGCCAGAAGGAACTACGCATTATTTAAGGTATACTGTTAAGATTTATTGTTTTATTTTTTTCAACTTTATAAAAAAAAAACAGAATCCAATTATCCTAATATAATCTGCCCAGTTGCGGCTTTTGATGCCAACATTTACCTATCATATAATTTTGTGGGTAACAGAGTAACAAATACATTAGGGCTTAGATCTAATTTTCGGCCAACAAACCGCACATAAATTCTCTTTTTCAAATAGATGTTTACACAAAATGGAATGTTTTTACTTCAGATTCTATTTCTAAATGTACCTTGCCATATGTAGGGTAAGCACTTCACCCTACCGAACAGAAAACATCAAATGTATCTCTGATTTCGTTAACTAATCAATTATATGCTTGGTATGGTACTGTAGTTCAAAAGCTGTACCACAACGCCATAAAGCTCTAACACAGAGCATAAAGAGTCACAAATTGTGTTTATTTTGTTAAAAATACAACACTGTTTCTTGATCCCTAATTCGGCCCAATGGTTTCAATTTTGTACAAACACATATAAACGTCATTAGATGACTTCGTCATACGAATGTAGGCAAAAATTAAATGAAAATATTTATTCGCTTGAAATGCTTCTTTTATTTTTGAAAACAATTAGTGTTAATATTCATACTTCACGCTCTTAAAGGCTTTGTGTAGTAGCTTTTGAACTAAGGTATCATACCAAACGTATTGAAATCATAGATATATTTCTGCATAATAGGATGAAAATGGGCGATTAGGGCAAGTACGTTCAAGTGAATTATGAATTTTTCACGCAGATCTTGTGTTTTTTTTTTAATAAACATTTGTTTTCGGCGCTTAACTGCGATGGAAATTATGAATCGGATACACTCGTTCTTCTCCGATTTGCATGAAAATTTGCATAATTGGGCAATGATTCACATTTTTGCTAAAATTTAGTCATTTTGGATCTTGTGAAATTTTCCAAATGGCGTCTTTGAAATTTTTCAAAAATGTAAGAACGAAACGGCATTTCTGATCGAAATGACGTCTGAGGCAAACTTGTACAGAAAAATAATTTTGCTCTGGGAAAAATATTTTTAGTAATTTCAAGTGAAAAAAAAAAACAATGTAAAAACCTAAAAACCAGAATGTCTTTATTTGATTGTTGTTTTTTTCTTTTCTTTTTTATAAAAGGTCATGAAAAATGTCAAGTTTTGAAATGGATGGAATTATGGAGTCTCAAAAATTGAAAAGGTTGTCATATAAAAACTTTTTGCTAACACGTTTTCCATGTAATTTATACTCCGAAATCAATGTTTGAGACCAGTCTGGAAATGCTTTCGACAACTTGGGGCTTTAGGTAGTGATGAAAAGTCACTAGAACTATTTCACAGCCACAGACAGTAATGAGCAATGGCGGGCGCACACTTTTGGCCTGCAGATTTGAAGACATACTTCAAATCTCCGCGTACATCGTACGGGTTAGGAAAAAGGTGTGCGTTTGACTTTGTACTGTCGCATTAATGGCCCTCAGCTCATTTTCATCCTCTATTCAATTTTCATACTGCCGTACTCTAATGGAACTATCCACCTACCCTCTTCTAAGGCCATTCTCTAGCTAATAAATTATCACACTAAAGCTTCATGTTAGATAGCTTTCCAACCAACTCTGAAAATCGTAAACTTCGCGTATGAAGTATAACATAAAAACACTTTGAATCTAAAGTATTTGTCAGATTCGGGTGGTTTGTTTACGGAAAAGTGATGAACAAGAAGGATGAAGGGTAAAGATATTGATGTAAGAATCAAATCGTGCACTTTCCTATTATCTGTTTTGATTTTGAAGATTGAGCGAAATAATGCCATAATCGTCAACGGCATGAATACATGAGTAACCAACGCCTAAAAGCCAATTTGTTTTCTTTTTTTAATCAAAACTAACCGGGCAAAGATATATCGGTCACCATGTGCTTCATTTATAAAAGCTGTGCACCAAAATGATTCACCGAATTGTTGAACGCCCTCCTATTACTGATCGCTGATATGAGTAAAATTGATCTGCAAACATCTAAGAAAAATGTTGATTCGATCAGTGCCCATATGTGGATTTAAATAATTAAAAAAATACATTTAAGCAAAATTGAAACAATGGACATATGGTCATATCAAACTTCCTTCAAGGAAACTGAAGAAACTTTTTAAGAAGTTCTAGGACTTCAGGAGTACCCAGAAAACTTCAGAGATGTCAAGAAACCATCTGAGAAGTCTGCAAAACTTAAAGTAGAAACTTTCAAAATAGCTATCTTTCAAGATCTCCAGAGAAGTTCAGAGATCATAAGATCATGCATTCAGACTTTTGGAGAAATTTTAAGATTTGTAGTTTTTGAGAGAGGATACTAAGGTCTAAGGTACATGATACACGGGAAAAAAAATCCTATCTCCGAAATGGAAAAAAAAAAACTCATGATTTCATGAACACAGCGTATTTTCATGTTATGAAAATACACCATGAATAATATTCATCATATCATGAGCAACTTTTGCGTAACGCAGCAAACATTCTCAACATCATGAATCATCCGAGTTGAAATCATGAGCTAAATTTATGGGTTTAACTTTTTATAAATAAATAAAATAAAGCATCAGACTGGATTCGAACCAAGAACCTTGATATTACTAAACCCATACTTTGACTACTAGACTATCAGTACTTGTATGACAAAAGGCGTATAAGAGATACATATACAATGTGGTTTATGAACACGGTTTGCCAAATACGTGTAACGCTTGTAGCGGTCTTGATTCCACTGCATTATGAAATCATGAATTTCCAAGACGAAATCATGAATTATTGTTACCATTTCATGGGATGGCATGTTTTTTTCATTTCATGAAAATGGAATCGGATTTATTTCCGTGAAAAATAATATAAATTCAGGGCTGCACCATGAGATTCACAAATTTGTTGGTAGGTATGAAAACTTCCATGCATTTCTGGGAAGCGCAGAGAGCTGTTGTTCCATTATTTTCAGTGAGTTAACTGCAGAAATTTTCAAGTCGAGAATTTATAAAATATTCCGAGAATTTCAGCATTAAAGTCTTCAAAGATGTTCCATGAATGACAGAAAAATGGTTGGGAAGTAAGAGAAATTTCTTGTAAATTTAGGAAACTTCAAAATTGTGAAGCGCCCAAACATAGCGTTTCCACGTTTCACTCGAGCGGACGTTTCTTCCAACTGTAAAAGTCTAAGTTTATAATAAGAAAATTGCTCCCTAAATGATAATTTATGCTAAGGTTGTGTTCGTCCGCACCTGGCTAACCTCGAATAAAGCAACTCATCAGAACAACTGCACCGATTCTTCAAACTTCGAAACCTTTTATGCATGAATTGGCTACTTAGTTAGCCGCCAGTATGTATAAAACGATACAGATGGATTAAGAAAGCATATAGACTTTCTTCATGGTGTCTACTTTTCACATGAACGGATGCTCCCCGTGGTAGGAACGGTCCTGTACGATGTTTTGTTTACTTTGAGCTTTCGCGAAGCACCGCACACCAAGCCAGCGCACTTCGCTGACGACGCGGTAGCAACTGTTTGAAAACAACTGACCCTGAAATCGGCGACTTTTTCACTGCTGCTGTTGTCGAGAGTGTATTTTCTTCTACCCTATGGCGGTCTATTACTGGTTAATTTCCCATTCGGATTAATGTTGGAATTTAAGGCCTTTCCCTCATAGGGAAAATGACGACTTCGGCATGACAGACTATTTTCGGCAACTCAAATTGAATCGCTAATTTCATTAGATTTTCTCACGTAAACACTTCCCTGAATGCATTTAAACGATTCTTTAGACTTTCAACTTCAATTTGATTATATTTTAATACTAAAAAAAGCAATCAAGCAGGGTTTTATTGAAATGAAACACACGCACTACAAAATGCTGCTGATTTCAAGTTGCCACAGCTGTTTAACACGCAGCTCAAATAGAAAGGTCGCCGAATAAAAAGGTGTTGCCCACAATAGTCGCTCTCACTAGAGAAGTTTGGAGCTTTGTAAAAGCGTTTCAAAACAGTTTTTGACAATTATTTCGACTGAAATTGTTAGAGCAGCTGACAGCAAAAGATTGTAAACAAACCAGTACTGCATATGTGTGCTTTCCTGAGAGAAAAAGGCTATAGAAAGATGGTCGCTGCTTAGGTTGCCGAGAATACGTAAATTCCCCTACTTAACCAGCTTGAGAATAATATCGAAGAGATCCTTCTCAAGGATAAATATGCGCTGCTAATTAATCTCTATTTTCTAAATTTTAACTGGATCTTCCTATTATGGTCCTAACTCCTACTGATCTGAAAGACCTTTGTTAAGTCCCTATTTTGTACTGTTAATAAACTTATTCAGTCGAACATACTGTTATTCGACTTTATCATATGCGTTAGGAAGTTTTATCATGTTGTTTTGAAATATAATCGTTGCTGAATATTTGGTTAACTGACCTATGTTAACTGTGTGTTTAGTTAAGCGATTAAATTCTTGTTGTAATTGAAATTATACTGAAATACTGTATATAACCATTACGATTAAATCCCAATAAGGATTGATGTTAGGATTTCGGGTTGTTGCAATACAACTAAAACTCCAAGCAAGTCCAGAAAAGGTCAGGGTGCACAGGTAAAAGTTCTAAATTTTAATTGTGATGTAAACTTGTATTTCATTTCACGCAACCGAGCAAATTGTAAACAATGCTGTTAACAAAGATGGGCTTTTGTATACAATATTTGCTACTTTGCATGAAATGTCTCAGAACTTTACATGATATATAATGTAAACTTATATCATATGTGACGCTCCATTTATGTGCATCATATTGAACATAGATTTACACTACTTTTTCGAACTGTGTATGATATAGATTTTAAAGGAATTCCCATTAGCTTCAGCCAACAATTCCAAAACTGTTCAATGAACTTCAGAAAATTTGCGGGAACTTTTAAAAACTATTATGAAATTCAGGGAACCCTAGAGATCTTTAGAACAGTTCCATTAACTTCCGGGAATCACCGAAAACTTGAAAAATATAGAAGAATTTGTAATTTTATTTCGGTTGATCACAGTTTCATCATCGTCAACGTTTTGATCGAGGGAATGAGATCTTCATCAGCGCTAGTTTTAGATTAAGGTCGTAAAACTTTTTGAACTGAACGAAAGACGGCATAACTGTATGCCCCCTGCGAAAGTCCATGCCCAAAGACCTAAACGTCGGACATAAAACATCGTAGTGATTAGATTAGTATTTTTAAGTTTTATGGTGAGCTGCTTGCAAACAAGCTTAGCCTAGATCAGCTAGAGGGAACTAAATTGTATAAATTCTCAAATTTAAATTTTAGTCACTCCTTAAAGGAAGCGCATGATGGTCGGGCGCACATATGAAAAATCATTGAGTAACCAGCTCTTAATTTACTATGACAGTACTGCGTACAATTTGTGCAAGTGCACGATCTCCCATCGGAAGAGACCCGACTGCAATCTAGCGTTGTTGATTGGAAAATGTTAAACGTGTCATCCGGGAAAAGATGTGGTCAAGTACAGTCAACTTTCGCTGGTTAGGCTAAACATGTAGCCCACTTAGTGAAAGACTTTCGTTAGTTGGGCTGAGCTGTCAAGCTGAAAATTGATTGAGGGATACACCGATTGTTTATTATCATCACAATCCTTTAGAAAGTATCCAAATTTTTCATACATGAGCCCCTCGAACAAGAAATAGCACTGTCAAAAATGACGTTTGACTTCGATTGAGGGGGGCTACAGCCCAACTAACGGGAGCCCAACTAAAACGTAGCCCACCTAAACATAGCCCAACGAGCGAAATTTTACTGTATTGGAATGATGAGTATTATTAATTGAAACACAACAGTTGTTAAATGTAATACCACGTAGAAGTTTCTGGCATTGATTTGAAACCACCACCAGTTGTACAGTTCAATGTGTATTTACCTTAAGCCGCTATTGTTTATAAACTTATCTAATTTTGGCTTCTCAGATACCCATTTTAGCGCTTTAGTTCCCCATTCTAATTTTGTTGTGTTTTGTTTCTTTTCTTTTCATTTTCATTTCATCCCTTGTGTGATTTTGCGTTTTGAATTTCTATCATCATATTGTAATAATCAAAATCACAATCGAAAATCCACCGAAAATAATTCGACCCACATTGAAAAATCGTAGTACCTGGTGCACCACCACGTAATATAACAGTTGAAGCCACCAGTCCGACGACGATCAACGTTTCCTGGCTGCCCCCGCCAGTGGAGCGCTCGAACGGTGCCATAGTGTACTATAAAGTGTTTTTCGTCGAGGACAACCGCTCCGATACTGACGCAACCGTGACCACCCTCAACTCCACCAGCATCGTGCTGGACGAGCTGAAACGCTGGACCGAGTACAAGGTCTGGGTACTCGCCGGGACCACCGTGGGCGACGGGCCCCGGTCCTACCCGGTCACTGTTAGAACCCACGAAGACGGTACGTATTGCACTGATTACCTTTATCCCTCTCTCTCTATTGGAACCTTTAGTTTCGGTACACTGACACTACTAATACAGTCAACACCCCACCAATCACCATCGGACACCACAACCGAAGACACCAACTCCAAACTAACTAATCTCAACTCCACCACCAGATGGATCACACTAACAATAAAACAACCAAGCCACCAACTAACCAAACTCAGTTTGTTTCCATAATTACAGATTACTAACCGATTTTTGTATTTTGAAGGTTTTTAATCAAACAAACTATTTTTGCTAACCATTTTTGCTACGAACTATTTTTATTTTTAATAAATAAGTCATACCCACAAACGCAGCGAGGATCTAACCGAATTTTGCATTTTGAATAGCTGCCCAAAATAGGATCCATTTTTTGTGCTATGTGCTTAATTTGTACCTTTTTGTGTCATCAACATTCTTTTCCGCCGTGACAACAGGAAACTTTTTGTGTAGATTTTTGCATATTTAATTTCCCACCACATACAAGAAACTCCCCGGGTGCCGATAGCAGCAATATTGTTCGTGCAGTGTAATAACATTCCGGAATGTATTTAATTTTTTTTTGTTTTGTTAAAAACCAAAAACAGTAACAACTAGGTTATTCCACAACGGAACCACCACAGCGTCGAATCGGAACTTTTACCACCGAGTGCCATCGTCCATCGTCGGGTTTCTCCATCTGTTTGGCAGTCGAACCGAAACCGCATGGCCGCGAGCGGAGGCGAGTAGTCACGGTTTTACAAATTTGGCATTTGTTTCGCACAAAAGGCAAAACAAGCGACAGCGAGAAAGAGAGAGAGCCGCATCATAATTAAGTGTGGTGCATTTTTCGTTCGGTTCCGAAATAGTTTTTTTTTTTTTTTGTATTGAATGGGAACATTTACGTCGCACCGACCGAACCGTTACTACTCGCGGATCCCGCGGAACCATGCCCAGGACGAATATTTTTTGATGTCCTATGTGTGCATATATATTCTTTTTTTTTCGTTAAAATATGACACTAAAACAAAAAACGTTGCTTCTCCACACGTACACGGCGAGCTCATCCAATGGAAAGTAAGTTTGATAGGAAAAAAAATGTATAACGTACCCAGATGTCGTGGGAAATGATTCATGTGCCCGGAATTGACTATTGTTTTGAATGTACTCTCATTACCATGAGAATGGTTCTAGTTAGCGATGATTTTTTTTTCGACATCACAAAAACATACTGCTTTGCTGCAAAATAAAGTTTTCATGTGTAATCGCCATTTTCCATGAATTTCAATTTACTCAAGTCTGTACATTTCACTTTCTGAATAGACCTGGTTGAGAGCAGTCATCCTTGGCTACTACGGTTTAATCTACGCCGAACGGAGAATTTGTGCCTACTGAAATTTTTCCTTGACCAATCGTAGGATGGTCATTAAACCGGGAAAATTGGGAATTAATCGGGATTCGAAAATAATCGGAAGATGACCGGCTGATTTTATCCTGAATTTATATTGAACGAATTCTAATAACGGTGGATGTAGTTCTTACTCTGCCTTTTTTTTTAACTCTTTATTTGTTCCAGCCTTAATTGTTATGATATTTATCTAAGTGTTTTTACATTGTTCCTGCATTGGCAATTCAGTATTTTAAACAGGTTTCCTATACCTGGATGTCAGTATAACAATTTACATCTTAAAACTAAAAACTAACACTAAATCTAACCTAAGTATAAAGGGAATTAATCGTTGCAATTGAGGATTGCAACGATTTTTGCCTGAAATTATCAATTATTTTGTTGGGCATTTGTTCTAAAGTCTCAACATTCAAAATTCTATGTACCTCGGTAGTACTGTACCAGGGAGGCAACTTCAAAATCATCTTCAGAACTTTGTTTTGAATCCTTTGAAGTGTTTTTCCTGGTCGTGCAACAACTAGACCATATTGGCACAGCTTAAAGCATGGCCGGTCTAAAAACTTGTTTAAATATTAGAAGTTTATTCGTCAGGCAAAGTTTGGATTTCCTGTTTATAAGAGGATACAAACATTTTATATATTTGTTACATTTGGCTTGAATGTCCTCAATGTGATCTTAAAAAGTTAATTTTTGGTCAAGTATTAATCCAAGATATTTCACTTGGTTTGATCAGGAAATTGGAACTCCGTTCATAGTGACTATGTGACTACTACTAGGTTTCAAAAACGAAGCTCTAGGCTCATGTGGAAATATTACAAGTTGAGTTTTGGAAGCGTTGGAAGAAATCTTCCATTTTTGTAAATAAGAAGAGAAAATATCTAAACTTTTCTGCAGTCTGCTGCAAATAACACGAAGACTTCTTCCTTTAGCGGAAATGCCTGTGTCATCAGCGAACAAAGAGTTGTGGCAACTCTGAGGCAAATCAGGGAGGTCCGAAGTGAAAATGTTATACAATATAGGCCCAAGAATGCTACCCTGCGGAACTCCTGCTCTGACAGGTTTCAAAATTTGTTAATTTGCCTGCAGAGTTCTGTTAATTAAATTATTTTGAAATAATTTCATAATATAAAGTGGAAAATTAAACTTTTTCAATTTAGCAATCAAACCTTCATGCCAAACACTGTCGAATGCTTTTTCTATGTCTAGTAGAGCAACTCCAGTTGAGTAGCTTTTAGATTTGTTTGAACGAATTAAATTGGTTACTCTGAAATCCAAACTGCTCATCTGCAAAAACCGAGTTCGTTTTGATGTGAAGCATCATTCTATTCAAAATTATTTTTTCAAAAAGTTTACTTATTGAAGAAATCAAACTTATTGGACGAAAGCTAGTTGCTTCTCAAGTAACAATTCAAGCTGAATTGTAAGAACAAAAGTTGATTATTGGTTGATTTAAGGTGTACGAAGCTGATTAACACCAGGCTGAATATACAGTTGATTAGTAGTGCATGAAGCGAACTGTATCCCCGTAATTCAACCTCAGTAAGTTAGCTGATATAAAGACTGAACAAGACTTATTTAAGCTTAATACTACTCCACAAACCAGCAATGCGCTACAAATATTCTGATAGCCTGATAGAATAATATGAATTTATTGTAAAATATTGTTAAATGTCGTCAGTCTCACTTCTTGCATTTCCGACATTTTAGTTATTCAAAATTCACTGCCTACCTTTCTAATCCCATACAGCACCAGCAGTAGAGACAAGGAAGAAGAGCTTTCTAAGAATAGCTCCACCTAGAAGTGGACTGTGACGACGTCGAAAGTATTGACATTAGTATTCCTGTGTTTTGTCTGTTCACCACTTTATATTGCACTTAATTTTCATACCGCATTTCAAAAATAGAATTCAATTATAGCACTAAAACATCGAAATACATCGTGCACTTATGTCCACATTGTGTTTACTGCACTTGAAATGAGAGGAATGTTTTACTGTCACAATGTTTTGTTTACAATTCTGCATTGCTGTATAATACTCTTGCGGTTGCTATTATTCAACTTAATTTTGACGTGCTTCATGTTAATGAGCATACCTTCTGCCTCAAATATGCTTATGTGGTCGAGTGGGTAAAGTTGACGACTGTGAATCAGCGACTGCCGGTTCGAATCCCGAAATGTAAATGTAATTTTTAGACATATAATAACAATTTAAATATGTAAATCCAATTAGTCAGTTAGTGTTTTCTAAAGCAGTCTCATAAAAAAAATATAAAATATGAGAAGCGGTCTTCCATTATATATATATTTTTTTAATAAAGAATGAAGGCAGAACAAGGGTTGGAAAAGACTGTTGGTTAATGCCTTAAAAGCTTATAATTTAGATTGCTGTTAAGCTTTGGGCTGATTAAAATCACCAGATTTAGATGGTTAAAAGCTGAACAAAGGTTAAATCGGTCTACGTACAACAATTATTCAAACTAAACCTGAATTAAAATCGTTGAAAGAACACTTCTTAAGCATCAATTTGTTACCTGGGTTCAGCTGGATTTTTCCATTGATTAGAAAAGTATGCCAAAATGAAAACATCTGTTAAATAATTTTACCAAGAAAGACGAGGAACCCTTTGGGAGTTTTTTGATGAGGATATAAAAAATTCCATCATCATCCCCTGGAACTTTCATATTTTGGAACTTTTTAGTTATTGATCTTACTTCGTCCAAATCAGTCCCCCAGGAATCATCAAAAATATTTTCCCTAGAGAAAATATTCAGATAATCCCGAGCAACCTGATTCTCAATAGGACTAGTAAGACCCAAACTGAAATTATGGGAATTTTAGAATTGCTTATCAAATTTCTGAGCATTTTCTGAATTTTTGATCAAAATTTTACCACCTTCTTTATAAGCTGGAATAGGCTTTTGAGGTTTTTTTTCAAAAACATTGTGAGTTTCCAAAAGGGTTTGGAACTCGGGTCTTATTTCGTAACGTTATTTTCAAAAGCTTTGTTCCTCAGGGCAGAGAATCGTTTTTTTTTCAAATCCCGCCAAATAACATTTATGGCAGGATCGCGTGCTCTTTGATATTGCCTCCTATGGACATTTTTCAGACGGGTGAAAAGGTGAAGATCATCGTATATTATAATTGAATCGAATTGAACCTCGCATTTTGGTACTGAGGCAGCTCTTGCTTCAACTACTATATTGAAGTAGTCATTGATTCAAGAGCATAATTAATTTCATCTTTGGTTTGCAAAGGAATGTTTGGATCGAAGTTATATTCCATAAATGTTCGATATTGCTCCCAAAAAGCTCTATGGTTATTGAAAGTAGAGCTGTTGGGAATAGAAATTATTTCTTGGGATGTCAAAAGTTTCTGGAAGTTGATCAAAACCAAAGTCAGCATGGGTATCCAATTGGCTACAAAGTTGATATGAATCAGTTAAGACCAAATCAATAGTTGAGGGATTTCTTAGAGGAGAAAAGCATGTTGGGCGGTTTGGATATTGAATATTATTATTATTTCTATTTAGGAGATTTTCAGCCGCAGGCTGGTTCATCTCCGCAGGATATTGAACAGTGTAATA